TTTTATTCTCTGCAGAATTTAAATCCTATTTAAATACTATCTTCTCATCTTTAACTATACACATTTCTTTTTTACAATAGATCTCAGAGTTATATTTTTTGTATACATCATCTTCAGAATTTTGCAGGTGCTATTCAAAAGCTTTGTATTTGTTAATAACAGTCTTTTGATGATAATCAGGTGCTTTGTGTCTATCCGTTTTGACTCCAATTTTATTTTTATAACAGTATTCAAGATTATAAGTTCTATTAATATTGTTTATGTTCAGACAACTATTTGTTGCTACTCAAATCGATTGTCAATATAAATTTTAGATATGATCTAAATTAATTACTGAAAAAGGTTAGCATTAGTATTAGCATAAATATTAACGTAAAACTCAATAACAATAGAATCTTGTACATACGTACATAATATAAATATAATTTTCTTGATAGTATTTAAAATATTCTGATTTCTCAGATCGATAATCTTTAAGTAGCAATACGTACGTACGTATATACCAGATTAATATAAGTTTAAAACTTGTAGATCTTTACAAAATAATTTTCATATGACAAAATCATGCTGCTCAATAAGATCCAAGATTTTATACACAGTTAGTTGGCTATAAACCATACACTACGTTTCTGGTAAAAATTCAGACTCAGACTAGTCTGCAAACTTCGGACCAGACCCAGACCAGACTCAAACTTGATTAAAAAGTTTGAATATAAAAGTCTAAGTCTGGTCTAAAAATCAGACCAGACTCAAAATTGACTAAAGTCTAGTTCAAGTCCAGTCTGTAGAAGCACTAACATCAACAAATAAATTCTTAAGAACTTGAAGTTAGACAAGAAAGTTCTAACATTGCAAAATTAGAAACTAGTAATAAAAATGAAGAAAGGATTGCTATAGATGACTCAGAATCAAGTGCAAATAAAGATATTAGTGATGAGTGGAAAGCAGTTCTTAGAGAATAGTTTAAAGATCTTGTTTTTGAAGAAGAAAGCATCAAAGAAGAAAGTGCTAAAAAAGCAGAAAAGTTGTTTTTAGAAATAGAGGAAATAGAAGTTTCATCTAATAAATTATTGGTAGATCTAAAACATTTTGCAGATGACTTTATAAAAAAATAAAAACTTGCTAATTTATTTGATTTCGAATTTTCAACACTTTCATCTATAAAAAATCTGATAAAATTTCAAGAAAATTAGTCTTTTTTTTTGATTAGTTTAGTTGTTTTGTACTAAGTAGACAAAAATTTGAATAAACAACCAATTTTGATTTGTAAGTAATCATCAACTAGTTTAGTATTCTATTGCATGTTTTTTTTGTTTATAGAAAGAATTAAGCTGCTTTTCTTAATGTAAGTATAAAATTTATTCTTAATTTTAAAAATCAATAATTTAATATTTACCAATCAATTATATTATTATAAATCCATAAGTATATATCACTTTTTCTATTAGTATTTTGTAGGATTTGATATTCTCTAACCAATTTACATAAACTTAATAGGCATAATTCAAATATAAAGCTAATTTTTAAAAGCTGTGAACTATTGCTATCGGTATTTATATTAAAACAAAACCTACATATAATATTGTCATTTAGTCCCAATATAGTATATAAAATTTTATTGCTTTCTATCTTCTTTTACCAACATAGATTTGTAGTATCATTATAGTAATCATTTAATTAAAGGTATCTTGGCCAAGTTTGTTAGGAATTATATAAGGTACTGTGATTATATGTTTTTCCTTGTCAAACAAATTTTTATTTGAGGTATGACATACAAATATATTAGATTTATGGGATTTATGATTAAGATTTGTATTTAAGTTACTGAGTTTTGTAAAAAAAAAAAAAAAAA